CCATGAATTCTTCACAGAGGCATCTTGGTCCGCTGAGTGACTGGGGGAATAAAAGTAGATAGAGCAGGACAGAGTACTCAGGATGACCCTGAGGGCATTCAGTTCACTACCGCTGAGGTTGCAAATTCCATGGTCATTTCTGCTGGGTAGAAATGAGGACTCTGCCCAACTCTGAATGAAGGAACTGTGTCCAGGCTTTTGTCCTTCTTTGAAAAGCCACTACTTACCATCACTGATAAAGCTATGAATGTTTTATCCAAAAATGTATGCCTAGAAGCAAGGCAGCGAGTGAATATAACTGCACTGATTTTTTTAAAAAATAAAACTAACCTTCACAAATGTGGGTGAATGTGGCTTAAACACTAGAACCCATGGGTACATGTAGCATTTATATAAAGGAGTGTTGTTTCCGGTGTAGTGTTATTGTCTGCCCCTTCCCCCCCCACTTTGAAGGAGCTAACAGAAGCTTGATTTTAGCTATGGAATCTTTCTCTTTCTGTTAAAAGTACTCGGGTGGTAGGGATATGGCAAGTCAGCTATGGATGCCGTTGACAGACGTAAGAAGGGAGAGATTCAGATGGAATACACAATTAAGTTGAATCTCATTGTCCGCTTACACATCTGGATAACTGAGCAAGAGCACTACATCCTCTGTAGACTGTTTTCACAAGTACAGTGAGTTCTTCACGGGGTTTCTATGAAGCTGGTCCCAACACCGTGTAAGTATTCCCAGGAATGGCAGACCAAGAATCAAAACTGCATTCAGCTATGATCTTAGGACCCTTCTCTCATGGGCAATATAAAAGACTGAGAACTGAATTCATCCATGCTTCTGATGTAGGAGACGAATTAGAGCTTTATTGCTTCTTTGAGCTCCAGCAAATAAAGCAAGTACAAACAAACACAGCCTGATGTCCGGGTCCTTCTTGCTGGAGGTGAGTGTGATTACAGTCACCATGGGGGAAGTGAGCTCAGCACAAGCAGTGCTAGAATTGGCAGCTTGCAGTGCCTTTAAATATCAGAGAGGAATACCAAGACAAGACTGGGATCCAGATGTGCTGATTTGCTTGAGCTGTGGTGTGAGACATATATGCTTATCTGGCTGAGTTCCTTGTTCAGAGGTCAAAGGTCACTGCCAAATGCTAGCATAATGTCTCTGTTCCCACCAGCACTTTCGATTTTAGAATGGCTTTGATGTTGCTCTGAGCTTTTATAAAACCAGTATTGGATCTGGGGGTGGACGGTTAGTATCAATTTCCAGACTTCAGGGGCTTTGTAGGCCTGCTGCTGGCCACACTGGGGAGGTCATTGGGAGGTCAGAGAAGACTCAGGACTGGAGTTCTGTCAAGGTCGTTACTGTCACTATTAAGGGAATAACTCAGAGCCAAAGGAGCAAGTGTTCTTATGTTCATGTCCAAAGTAATAACATAAACAACCGTAGTCTGATTCTAACCCAAGGGCAGACACTCCTCCCACATATGAAGTTTTAATTTATGTAAGATATATACAGAGGTGGTGGGAGGTAAAACAAAATATACTTGACAACCTGTTGTCTTCCAAAGTGTTTGTTAAACTGAGAAATAATTGATTCTAGAATAAGAAGTCTGCTATTGCAGACACAAAGAAATATATCTCAACAGGGAATATAAAAATAATGGAACTCTTACTATAATGAGTTGATTCCCCATAAAATAATCCTGCAATTGTCTACTGTGTGGTAGCCCGACTCACTCAGCCAAAGGAATGATTAATGAACAAGACAATGAAGGATTTGTCACACTGGCACAAAGCAAGGAAGTGTGTGACAGTCATTAGAAACAAAAAATGAGATAAACATACTCACTGCCTGGATGGCAGATGTGGGATGAACATTGAGGAATATGGTGGCTTTAGAAGTGATTATAGAAATATCCATCTCATTGTCCTATTTGTCATGAGTGGTCTGCTTAGTGAATATGGGGTAGATAAAAACAGGTCCCAGCATGGGACCCGAGAGCCACAGGACATTCACTGACCACTGACTGAAATGTGATTTGCTAGAAAAGATGAGAGCTGAGGAAGCAACCATTCCTGGGGAGAGCTCCAGCTATGTATGCCATTAACAGGCACAGAGCTCATTTCCTTGCTGCAAAATATAAGAAAATGAGGTTTGTTTTACATGGACTCATATTAGGGGCAAGTAAAATAGTTCTGTTCAAAGATGAAGCTCAAAATCTTGAATGGGTATTAAAATAGAGGGTCCTTTTTAATTTCTTACCTAGCTATGTCCCACGTGCAATGACTCTTAGGAAGGTTCCACACACTGGGTGTTTTAGGCTAAATTTACCACTCCTGCCCCATGTAAAGGACATGGCCTTCCATCTCAGAAAGAGTACCTTTCATTTGCCAAATGTAACAAAAAGACAACTCAAGAGATACTATCACTCAGTATGTACATTTTTTTTTTAGCATTTGTACCAATTTCTATGAAGAAAAATAATTAGAGGTAATGTGAGATCAGCCATGCATGTGTCAAGCATGCTTGTGTGGGACTGTTTTGCCATGGTCATTGTTCACATCATGGGAATATAATTCATGAATTATATATTTGCTCTGGTGGGTGGGGGCATGATTTCAATAATGTTCTTTAGAAGTAAGTGTGATCTTTCTAAGGACAGTTTTTGTGCTTTATTCATCTTCGAATCTCCCTGAGTATCTAGCACAGTGACCTTGACAGATGGCTTGTCCCAGAAGCCCCTGTTGACTGGAGGTTGGGTGACCTATTTACTGGCAAAGTGATTATTCAGGAAAATGTGTTATCTTACAGACAGTTTTGATAAATCTTCACTTATTTCCACTAACAAAATCGTATCACACAGTTTTGCAGCACACCAAACTTCAGGCACACAAGCCCATCTTTTTGTTGCCATAAGGAAACTAAAACAGATTCCTAAGAATGAATGCTGGAAGTGTTTTGATTCACTACTTTGCCTAAGTAACTGCTGTTGCACAAGAGGGCTGTGCAAACAAGATCTCAAATAAGTTATGTGAATTAGCTGCTTTTATCAGCTTGAAAGGAGTTTAAACTTTTGGAGTAGGTCAGACCATGTGTGATTCTGACTCTTACCACTTAACCTCTCCAAGTCCTGTGTCTTAGCTTGAAGTGAGAACAGAGGTGTTTCCAGCCTGTGATTGTGGTGATCAAGTTAGAGCAGCCAGGCATTTCAAGCTGAGGAAGAGCCCTGGGAATGCCGTAGAAGGTCTGTGGACCCACAGATACTTGTATAAGGTCTCTAGTCTACTGTGAATACCTATGCATTGCCCTTTTCCAACCACACATGGATTCATTAATTTCACAGATATTTATTGAACACTAATAACCTTGGGCAGTATGAACAAAAATAAGCGAAGTAAATGCCTACATCAATGTTCAGGCATCTTCAAGGATGGGAGCAAGCACAGTGGTGAACAGGAGATGAATAGGTAAAGTTAGTTGAGGAAGAATAAGGGTTAAGAGGAAAAATAAAGGATATAAAACAAGAAAACGGGACTATTAAGAAAATTGGTAAGTGGCCATAAAAGACATTGTTCAGGTAGCCTCACTTAAAGAAATGAGGGACTGAACCATTTGGATGCTTGGGGGAAAGCATCCCAAGTGCAAAAGATATGAGCACAAAGGCCCTGGTACACACAGGGAGCATTTAGGTCACCAGTGGGGCTGAGAAGGTTTGAGCGAGAAGGTAGCATGGGTGAAGCTGGTGAAAGGAGTGGACCACATTAGCCTTTATGCCTCAAATAAAGTCCACTGCTTTTATCCCATTGTAGAGGCACAGAAAGATTTAATCAGAGGACTGGCATGGTCTGGCTGTGTTTTAGCTGTCCCACTGTCTAGAAAATCAAGTGGCTGGGACCAAGGACCAAAGAAGAAGGCCAGTGTGGAGGCTGCTTGCAGTAACCCAGGCTGCAGATAGTGTGATGGCGACCTGGAGTAGGGCAAGGAAACAGTCATGGAAGAAGACACTATGTTCCAGACGCATTTGATGGAATAGAGAGGACCGACAAGCCTAGTTGATGAACTTTAAGGACTACAAGAGAAAGAAGGGTACTGAGATTTTTGGCCTGTGCATGCAGAACGAAGTTAACATGGATTACAAGGGAGGTTGCAGGAAGACTTGGGATTGGGGACTTCATCCTGAGCACATGGACTTTACCGTTGGATAAACAACTGGACAAGCTATGAAGGCAACTTTTGGTGAAATTAACCTGAAATGTGTTTCCAAATATTACTGAGCAGGCCAGTGAGAGTGCTCAGCAGAAAAAAAAAAGTGCTTCCAAACAAGCCTGACAGCTAAGGATCATCTCTGGGACCCATGAGGTAGAAGGAGATACTTGACTCTTGCAAATTGTCCTCTGACTCACCCCCCCCCCCATAAATAAATTATATGTAATATAAAGCATAACACTGTGAACCGATAATAGCACTTTCTGAAATAGTTTGAAAGTGGAAGTACTGTGTTTGTCAGAAGAAAAAAATGGTTCATAAAATAATTTGCCTTGAAAAGGGATCCTGTGCCAGAAAAGGCTGGAACACACAGAAAATCTGTGACCAATATTATTTTGTTTGCCTCTACTCTTGTTCATTTAATACACGCTTTCAAATTTTGCATTATTAGGTAGATTCTTAGGTCTTAGCTTTAGACATGAGATTTTTTCTTTTCTTTAGAAAAAGAATAGAAGACCCTGGGAAGAGTTGACCAGCGGGTGGTAGAATTTTGTCCAGTGCTCTGGGTCATTTTGTTTTGGAAGGCCATTAGGATGTTCCATAACATGGCATTTACATGTTTTTCATGTCATTTGGGGTCATATGGTGTGAGAACAGTAATAAGAGTAGAGACCTTTGTTACCACAGAATTTTCAAAGTGAGCTGAAGAAATGGATGGTAATTATTGCTAATTAGCTTCAGCCCATGCAGATATGTGTGATCAATTTGGGTCTGTCATTTTAACATCTGTCCTTCTCAGTCTTATGCAGGGAAATATGTGCCGGCCATAGCGTACTATATCCACTCCCTCAACCCCGTGAGGGAATTGAAGATCCACCTGCAAGGAATTGCCATTGGAGATGCATATTCTGATCCAGAATCGGTGGGTGGCCACTTTTTCTTTCTCAATGTGTCCCTTACAGAGACTATACCTTTTATGTGAATGAACACCACTCTCACTTCAGAGGTCTAACTTATTATAGGCAATGTTAACTTAGCTCAAATCTAATTCTTAACTAGACCTTTCAAGTGTGTCTTCTTACCATTTTAGCCTCTTTGGTTGTCAATGCCAGATTGTACATACATGTGTGTTGTGCTGTATGTGTGACTTTTCTGTTGTATGTATCGGTGTGATTAATTGTCTGGCTTGACTAATGCCAGTGAAAATAAATAAGTCATTGCAAAATGTTTCTTCTTGAAGCAGAGAGCATCCTGGCCTTATCTCCTTGACATTCATGTGTGTCACTTCTGTCTCCAGATTATAGGAGGGTATGCAACATTCCTGTACCAAATTGGCTTGTTGGATGAGAATCAGGAAGAGTACTTCCATAAGCAGTGCAAGAAGTGCATACAATACATCAAAGATCGGAACTGGATAAAGGCCTTTGAAGTGAGTTCTGGGGCCCGCAGGCTGCCCTTAAGCAATTAAAACCATTTAAGCAGAGGAGGGATCAGGAGGCACACCATGATGACATTCCAGCTTTTGGGGTGGCATCTATCCCCTCCTCTGCCTAAGATCAGGCCGTGAGATGAACGGGCACGAAGAAATGCACTGCCTGCCTTTCTTTGAATTCACTTTGGCTGTGTATTTAACCCGAGATCATCCTGGCATGCTAACCTGTGTCTTTCATTAGCTGTTCCTACTTCCTTCAATGCTGGGTGGGACCTGAAGGCTTTCTGTAGCATATGGAAATCAGAAGCAAGGTAACCTGGGAAGTGGATGCCTGAGCTTCAACAGATGCTTGGAAATATTTAGAAGGGTCATGTCCACAATCAGGGCTTCAGATAAAGAAGGGACCAGGTGTGTAACCCAAGTCACATGCTTCCAAGTGTCGGGATCAAAGCCTACAAAATGTAGTGTAATGGAAGACATCTTCCAATAGAAATAGTGTGTGTGAATATTATTACACAGTTAACCTAACAATTGAACATGAGACTGATGATACGATTTGAGCCTTTGCTCACTTGCTTTTCTTTGGATTTTGGTTATTTAAGGTGTAAGGTTTTACTTAATACTGAGATACAGGAACTTGCATGTTTTAGCCAATGCAAAGGCAAAGTAAACAATCTTTACTCTGTTTTTGCTACACATCTATAGAGCCATCCTGTCTGACATGCTGGTAAATGAGACAAGAGCTAGACTCTGAGGACTTCATTAAACTTGCTATTAGACACATTTTCTATGTACCTAAAGTCATTGTGACTGTTCAGACCAAGGCTTGAAGTTAATAGACTTTCAGGTGCATCAGATAAGCCAATTATGACCCAAACAGGAGACATACAAACTAGAGCAGAAAGAGGTAACTTACGGTGATGCACATCTTATAAGTTGGGTACCAGGACACTACTGGGATCCCTTGTGGATGTGGCTGGGTTTTCTCTGAAGTCTGATAACAAACAGCAAGCTGTGCAGATAGATGGGTTGAGAAAAGGAAGTCCTAGCCCCAGGCAGAATGCTGACAGACTCTTTTCTGTGTCAGGACACCAGACGTGGCAGCAATATGCAGAGCCAGAATGCCCTCTGCAGTTGTAAACATGAAGGAAACAGAATTGTCTTGTGAACATTAAGATCATGCTTTTACTGACAATCATGATGTCTTCCCCATAGGTCTTGGGTTGTAGGCTGCCTGCTGTGCTAGAGCCAGGGAGAAGAGGAAAGCTTGAGGACTGAGCATTCCTACTGAGACTAATCTGCAAGAGAGAGACATTTGCTGTGGCTTTGAAGAAGCCCATAGAACTTGTTAAGCAGAGTCCCAGGCAAGGCCAGCTAAGAGGCTGGAAAGAAGGAGGCAGAACGATGTCCACTGCACATGATGTGAAAGCCATGACACTTACAGGCTGGGAAAACTGTTGGAAAATATGAATATTTTGTACAGTTAGAGACAATGAGACTATGGCCCAGGAGTCTCTCCTAAACCAAATTCAGTAGAAACTTAAAACACCTCCCTTGTTGTTCCTTGAAGGTATGAGATATCTCTTCAATCGCTGATTCAAGAAATTGAGTGATTAAAGCCTGTGAGTTTTCAAAGGAAAGAGACAAAGCAGTGTTTAGTATGTCAGCCAAGGATGCTAAGACATCCTAAAGTCCAAATCTCAATCCAATAGAGTCAGTCTGTTTGATGTTCTTAATCTTTTATCTTAACATTTTGCTTATTTTTATGTGTATGAGTGTTTGTCTGCATGTATATATTTGTACCACATGCATTTGAGATGCCCCAAGAGGACAGAAGAAGGCATCAAACTCTTGGAACTGGATTTACAGTTGGTTGTTAGCCATCATGTATGTGCTGGCAACTGAACCTGGGTCCTCTGCAAGAACAAAAAGAGCTCTTAATGGCTGAGCCTGCTCCCCTGGGCCCAGCGGTCTAAATTTAAAGATGAATCAGTTAGTAAAAAAGCAGTAACAGCTGGTGAAAACATTGGAGAGAGGTGGTTGCCATCTCTACACATGCGCTGGTGGGGATGCTGGGCCCAGAGGAGAGTCATGAGTCACAGAAGGACACATGTAGATTGGGGGAGGCCTAGGCCTGGAATGGGTTTGCCTGACTCCTATCCCAGTGTTTCTCCCTCCTGCAGTAGTTCTTGGGTATTCTATAAAAATCCTGGGGCATCCTCCCAATTCTACAAGAGTAAAATGCTGCTTTCTGGTTCCTTCTCTCTCCTCCTTGACAACGAATCAGAGGACATTCTCTGTGAAACAAGTTTTGATTAGAAAGATTTCAAAAGCCTGGACTAAACTAGTGGCATTACTTGTTAGACAGAAAGTGATTTGTTTCTTGGCGAAAGTAAAAATTTTATTTTTTTAATTTAAAAATTAGTGTGTGTACACATGTGTTTACATACTAGCTCAGATGTGTGTTATGTATGCATTTGTGGAGGCCAGAAGTTGATGTCAGATGTGTTCTTTACTCTCCACTTTACTTTTTGAGGCAGGAGCTCTCATTCGCCTGGGACTCACCTAGATGTATACTACACTGGCTAGTCAGAGAGCTCGGGGCTCTCCCTATTTCTATCTCTAACACTCTGACATTATTAGTGAGCACCACTACTCCAGGGTTTATACACAGGTACTGAGGGTTGAGCTTGGGTCCTCATGTTTGTGGCATGAGCACCTGACTAACTAACTTACCACCCTAGCCCCAGCAAAGTGACTCTTAAAGGTTGGATCTACATTCTCATTGGTGTTGAGGATAGCTTCTAAAGATGAGTTCCACAAGTGATATGTGCATTCAGTACAACTTCTAGCCCAGAGCAGGCAAATCAGAGAAAGACACCTACGCTGGACTATGAACCTGTAGGTTCATTATTTAACATGCAGACATCTCCATAGTGTGAAGGTTTCAGTACAGCTATTTCTCCAGATGTAGCCTGGAGAAGAATCCCTGGTTTGCCTAGCACACTTTGGATGGTCACTTACCCTTCTCAGTCCTCATCTGGACCCCTTATCTCTACACAGCCAGATGTAGGGCCACTGCTCAACCAAAGGTGTTGAGGACAGGGAAGCCCTGCCATCTGACTGCTGGTACAGTGGTGCATGTGTGGCTGAGAGTGCAGGCTGAAGTCATGGAGGGGGTAGTGTCTCACCCATGCCATTATCAGTGGGTGCCCAGGCCATGGGCTGCACTTTTGTGAATCTTCATTTCCTCGCCAAACATTAGGATAATGGTATTTTATCTTATAATAAACTAAACTTGTTCTTGATGGTTTTTAGAATATATTGAATGCATATCATAAAGTCCTTTCAGAGGACCCTCTTAGAATATATCCTCAGCAACAGAGGAAGAAAAGACACACCCCAACCCCTTCTCCTTGTCATCTTCCTGCTTTAACCATGCCTGACATGCTATACCCCACAACTCTCTCATGTTGACTCCCAGGTGGAGCAGCTGTCTCTCTCCTTCCTCATTGCTGCTTCCAGAACACTTTCTTCTTCCTGCTAAAGCACCAAGCATTTTATTTCATAGTCTCAGAGGGTGCCACCAAGCACTGTTTAGGGCAATTGTTTATACCATGTGTGTCTCTCTGGCTGGTTTAGCTCACCATCGTTCCCACCATCATTCCCGATGACTGTAGTATCCATGAGGGTGATATACTAATACTTGAGTCTTGTGTTCCTTAGCCTCTGTTTTTTTTTTTTCCTGCAGTCTTGTTCTCCTCTTTAGTTACTTATTCCTGCTACAAAGCAAAACAAAAACCAGAAAAACAGTCAAGTAAATAGACAACCAAAGAACTGACAGAGCCGTCACCCACAATCTGAAGCTGAAATACCTTTATTCAGTTGCCACATCCTATCTGTCCCTTCTACTTATGTTAATGAACCAACTGTAACAATTGTCCAGCTCCAATTCCATTCAGCCCATTGAGCTACCACCTCTTCCTGAGGCCTCAGCCCTAGGTCTTCATTTCTCTGATTGCCCAACCTAAACCCAGGCCCACCCACACATTCCAGCCACTAAGCTTCCTCCAACTTCTTTGGCTAAGACCCAGCCTTGGCTGATGCTCCTTCTTGGCTCCCTCCATGCTGGCCCTTGTTCAGCAGCCCATAGCTGGAGAAAAACAACAGTCGTGGTGACCACTCTTCCCTGCTGCTGATGGGACCTGGAGTCTATGGATGCCTTCCACGAGCTCCAAGACCCTGAGTCTCAGCCCACATCCCATTCTCTCTTTGCTCATACTGTGGGTGAGTGTTCCAGGGACTCCTCTCGCTAGGCCAACTCCCAAGTTGAAGCATCTGGTTTTACTATCTTCTGCCTAGATTATTCTTTCCCAGGTTTTCTATATTGCTGACTTTCTCCAAGCCAATGGGTTATAATTCAATTGTCATCTTCTAAGAGAAATGTCTTTCTTCAGTGTCCCCTACATGTAGGAACTCACATCCATAACCCCTCCCATTCTTGTTCTCCCTTCCATCCCCCAGTGCACATATGCCTCTAATACCTGACACATTTTGGGTTGCCGTGCTTATTTGTTTCCCTAGAATACAAGTTCTATGTGGGATAGCATTTGCCTGTTACAAATGTCCAGTAAGTGAAATGAGAAAGGTTTAAAAATATAGGGGGTGGAGAGGTAGCTCAATTGGTAAAGTGTTTGTCATGCAACCCCAAAGACCCGGAATCTGAACCCCATAACCCAAGTACAAACAAGAGCTTCATCGTGGTGGCATGGACTTGTGTTGGGGAAGCCAGTCTACCCTACTTGGCGTTAGAGACCCCGTCTCAAAACAATGGATGGTGCCTAATGAATAACAATGGATGGTGCCTAATGAATGATGCTGAAGGCTGTCATTGAACTTCCACATGTGTGTGCATATCATACATATGTAAACACATAAGCACACACATATCTAGATACACATATGCTAAAAAAATTAAAAGTGTCCAACAGAGTTCAAACTAGCCCCTCCTCTTCTTTATAAGGGGTCATATCTGAACACACTGAAGCTGCGTCCTGAGGTTTGACCATGACCCCAAGTCCACTGACAGAACAAGATGCCACTACAGTCCTGACTGCCTGATACAACAAGGGCTGTGCATGCTAAACATCCCTGACACTGTCCTTCCCTTTTCCCTCTCTGACCTAGATCCTGGATAAACTGCTGGACGGTGACTTGACAAACGATCCATCCTTCTTCCAGAATGTGACAGGATGCACCAACTACTACAACTTTTTAGAGTGCACGGTAATGATCACAAGATATAAAACACAGTAATGTCTGCTTAAAACTTTGGGCAAAACCAAACTTTGATTTGAAAATACAGCTCAATTTAAATTAGATGTCTATGTCCAACGTATATTGTGTAATTTCATCTCCTGACCCCTGGGGCTTGTTTCCCATTGGGCTTGTTAGCTTCAGCTCAGCATCATAATTTGTGATATTGTAGACAGCTCAGAATGGTGTCTATTTAACCCAGTGTCCCTATTAGACCTTGTCTCTGGGAGGAGTTCTGGGAAGTGTGCAGCCTGGGACTGTAGCTCTGGGTGCTGGATGTAGGCTTCAATCTATGGTCTCTTGAAAACATCTACCCTCTTTGTTCTGCACTTTGATGGCTTAGGTAATCAACATTGCCAAGCCTCCCTGAAAATATTTGCCTTGTCTTACTTTTAACTTGAGGTGTTTAGAGCATTTAGGACAGCCCTCACTTCAAGGCCTCTGGAATACTTTTCAAAGTACTCAAGTAGTTTCTTTCATAAAAGTAGGCCAGAGTTGATTGACATCTTTTGTGTAGAATTAAGTGAATAAGAGGAGAGCCTGCTTGGCAGTTTGGATGTGAGGACTCTCTGTCTACTGCACAGGACAATACATTCTGTTTTTAAATTGCCTTATTTATGAGCTATTTGTAAGTAAAATTTGAAGTCACTTTTGGTGGGATTCCCAGTCCTGTGGTTTTGGACAATAACAAAACATGGCAGGAAACAGGGAAATAGAATTTGTGATTAAAGTGTTTTTCTGTAGAAAGTAATATATTCACAGCCAAAAAAAATTGCTGATGAAGCACAGAATTGTTGAACATAAATCCCAAACAATATTTTTGCAACCTGGAGTATTTAAAAAATATTTGCTCCTGTTTCTTTAAAGTGTAATGATTATTACAAAGACTTTAAGGAGGTTTTTCTTTGGTTTTTGCCTCTTAACAAGGGCTATGAACAATTTGTTGTATATCTTTTATTAAGTATCAGTTTTTTTTATGTGTGATATAATTCCCCCATAAATCGTAATCAGTTGATTGTGGGGGGAGGGGCAAGACAGAAATTAATGAACAGCAGAAAATGGCAAGTAAACCATGGTTTTAACGCACTATGCTGCCCCTCGTTCCTTAAAAGCCACTAGACCATCTTTCCCAGAGCCAAGGTCAGGGAGCGATTGTCTTACATAGTCTCACCTCTTTCCTTTCTTCAACATTCTTGCCAATGAGTTATCTAATTAGACAGTAGGGCTGCAAAGATTAGTGTGGGCAGGAAAATCCACTCCTCAGGCAAATTGGACATTGACTGCAAACGAAGGAGATTCTCTGCATTTGGCCTCAGTGAAAGGATCCCTCTTCCTTGACTAGAATGCCCCATTAGAATGTGGAGCATGAAGACAAGTTAGCAGTCTGGTCATGTCCTGTTTACTGTGCTGTATGTTGCGAGAAAGTCTCAACTTTCCCACTAGGCCATGTCTGGCATCCTCCTCCATGACACCTTCTAATGTGCCTTCTGTCAGGATACCAAGGACCAAAGTTACTATGGGAAATTCTTGTCACTCCCACAAGTGAGACAAGCCATCCATGTGGGAAACCGGACTTTCAGTGATGGTGCCGATGTTGAGAAGTACTTGCGAGAGGACACAGTGCAGTCGGTGAAGCACTGGCTAGAAGAGATAATGAATCGCTACAAGGTGAGCAGGGGGCTTGGGGGGGGAGGGGTCCATCCCAGAACTCCTGAGTCACTGTGAGCCAAGGGACTTCCTTTTATTTGCCATTTTACTTCTTCCGTTAAAAAATATCTATTCTATTTATAAAATAGAAATAACCTAATATTAATTTTTTACTTCTCAGAGTTGTGAGCTGTCTTTTCAATAGTTTCTTAAAAAGAAATTCCCTGTCTGTCACACCAGCCCTTATACTTTCCTTGTTAAGGAAATTAAACGCAAGAAGATGGCCAGCCTTGTCTGATAATCAATTGTCCTTGTTGTTAGCTCTATCATGTAAATGACAGCCTCATCGTGGTCAATCCAACATTGCATCTGCTTAAGAATTGCTCTCATTGGCTTTAGTCAGTGATTATTCTCCCTGTATCTGCTATAAACCCAGAACTGTTGGGCTATTGCATTGGAGTGAACAAAGACTGTTCTGAACAGAGCAAGGCAGGTACGATGTTTAGGGTTGACATATTCCAGTTGATTGGTCACAAGAAGCCACAGTGGAAATCACAGTGAGCCTCTTCTTGGTCTTGCACTACAAGGGAGAATGCTAAGAGCAAGTGACCTGGCAAGAAATCTCCTGTGTATTGTTCCTTTCCTCTGACTGCTCTCTCATCACCTCCCCACCCATATCTTAGAGTTGCCTGTGGGGTAACCCTGAAGGATGAGTGCAGAGATGATGAAGGCTTGTATCCACTGAAACTTCCTCCCTCTATCAGGAAGAGGAAAGAGAAATTATGAGAAATGAATAAAAGCCAAGCAGCCAGTGATCTGTAAGGCATCTGGTATGAATTATACAATGTCCCGTCTTCGAAATATTTAATTTTCATCTCTCCTAAGTTGTTCACATCCTGCTTCTATAGACCACAGTCTTTTCTGCTCCTTTCCAGCATGAGGAAGGGTGATGCCCTAGGTAGACGTGGTCCTTGGGATTCTTGGGGTACTGTCTGCACTCTGCTGCAGGAAGCTTCTAAACTAATGCACACTTACCAGATGTGTTTTAGAATATTCCTGCCTGGAAGGCTCACCTTTTCTGGTCCTGCCTTTACTACATGAGGCTTATCATTTGTGTAGCATCTACTAGCCAGCTGAACATGTGGAAACTCTAAACTCTAGAGATGAGGGGACCACACTAGATTAGGCCAGCATTTCAACCATTCTTGCTTTTGGCTCTGCTGAGAAAATGCCGTACTTGTCTCTTCTTAGTTTGTTCTCCTCTTCCTGGGAATTCCCCTTTAGTGAGCTTTATGACATGCTGCTGCCATTCTGGGTGCTTGCTCTGACACCCATGCAGGCACAGACCCTAAGCACACATCCATAACCAAGGAATGAATAAAAGAAATCTTAGCTACGTCAAAAATATACCGAGAAAACCTATGATAACCAACTAGGTATTTATTGTTCTCAAATTTATTAAACCAAAAAGCACTTAACACTTGTGTTTTAAGACTTAAAAAGTTAGAGATACCATAACAAAATTCAAAGTGGCTTCGTTGACAAGAATTTCCAGTATCGTTCGTTATTTGGGCCTTAGGATGGGGGGATATATGTGTGTGTGTGTGTGTGTGTGTGTGTGTGTGTGTGTGTGTACCTGGAATGTGAATCCTTTTTCAAGCATGATAGGCTAGGGTGGGCATACAGAATTCTTGGGGTATGTATAGTGTTCCAGATGTTGACTAATCACCTCAAGCTGACCCTGACTGATAAAGGGAACATTCTGGCTAGAGTACACTTGGATATTTCAGCATCTCCCTTTGTTGCTCCCAAATCAGCTGTCTCAAATCTACCCGGCTGCCATGACAAAGTGCTTGACTGGGTAATTTCCATTCTTCAAAAGCGTACTGCTCGCAGTGCCATGCACTGCTGTCTGCTGGGAGTGCTGCAGGAGTTTGAGTCAGCTTCCTGTCATCTTCTTGCTGGGTCCTCCCTGGCTGGAATTCCTTTATAGGGTTTTAATCTCATTCTCAAGGGCTCTACCCTCAGGATTCCGTTACTTTCCAAGTCCCCCCACATTGGAGATTGGTATCAGCATGTGAATTTGGGGGGAAAGACAGAAATATTCAGATGTTGGCACCTACAGATGTGAAGTCCAATGAAATCTGAATATTCTCTGTATGTTTCAATTCTGGAGCAGTTTCCAGCAAAAGAAAATGGTTTAGTGGTGCAGATAATGTACATTGCCATGAAGAAAGAACAAACTGTGCAGTCAATCCAAACTCCAACTAAACAGGGTGGCTGTGGAACAGACCATGCATTCATGGAGACAGCTGGCAGAACCCTCCTGGCAGCAATGACTGTTGGCTTGTCTGCTATTGATGGCGAACCTCAATGTGTATGTAACAGAATCAGAACAACATAGGTTGGCTTAAGGCATTAGTGTCCTTAAAGTTGTATTTATGTAAGGCTCAGCTCTAATTTGTCATAGAAAGAAGGGAGCCCATTTCCATTCATATGAGCACAAGTGTCTTTTCCCCAGTACTGTTGTCATTTCAGCAGATGTGCAGTGCCTCTGGTAGAGTGAGGAAGGGCCTCAGGAGTGTCTGTGATAGTATTTCTATGTGAACATCAGTTTCTGTGTAAACCAATGGCAGCACAGCCATGCTCTTGTAATGACTTGTAGGAGGTACAGATGCTGCAATTTTGGATGGCAGAATGGTCAACAGATATAGACCACTACAATAATCTGTTGGATGATCAAATTCGTCCTGATTAAATCAGGTCAAAATGGTGTAAGGATTTTTTTTGTGGTTTTTTGGTGTAAGGATTTTTAGGAGTCATGTAGTAAAAGACCATGGTGGTCTAGATAGAGTGCATGCTCTAGGGTCAGCTAAAACACAGTGAATTTGGGCTCATGGCTATTCCTTTGGAATGGCTATTTAACTCTTTGTGATTCAGTTTCCTTGTTATAAAATGGGAGGGAAAAAAGTTAGATTTCATGAGGCTTAGGAGTGATTATATTTAAAACAGTCCCTGGTGGATAAAAGGTGTTTATAACCACAATCTGTGATCAAGAAGTTATAGCCAAAGTGTCTAAAGCCCACCATCAATAAGAGTGAAGACTTGATAGAGGAAGGCTGGAGAGATGGCCCAGTGGGGAAATCCTTATCATGAAGGTGTAGGTGTGAGAACCCGAGTACACATCACCAGAACCCACTTCTGTGCAATCCAGGTTGTCCCATGGCAAGATGGGATTTGGAGGCAGGAGGATCCCCAGAATCTTGTGTGTTAGCCTGGTGTATGCAGCAGCAAGCGACAAACAGACCCTGCCTCAAAACAGATGAAGGTCAAGGACTAACTCCCAAGGTAATTTTCTCACCTCCATATGCACAGATGCTCTCTCTCTCTCTCTCTTACACACACACACAGACTTATACAAGATCTCCTGACCCCCCCAAAATACAAAAGCAGAAAATGCCTCACAGAGTCCTACTTTCTTGATAGAACTTGAGGAGTTTATAAATCACCCCACTATCCTTATGGGGGAAAAGCTCTTCTCCAAGTTGTGACTAAAATGAGGTCATAGAGTACTCCAAACCGAAGGCAAGTACAGAGACCCATCCCTCCCTGTCTGGAACACAACCTCAGGAGTATGAAACTCTGTAGAAGCAGGACCTCAGTAAGGAATGGAACTGTGATTGGCACATGGCTGGAGGCCAGTACAAGGACTGTAGAAGTCAAAACACTGGGGACTCAGTTAGGCCAGGCTGTACATGTCTGTGAATTTTACTTTCAGGAGTTCATCCAGCTCTCCAGTGACTACTGGGGGAACCTGCTGGCATTTGTGATGCTCCCAGGAGGGGTGGGGAAGCATTGGGAAAGCTACTCAAGTGCTTAGCATTAGATCTGCCCAGGAGAGCAGCTATCTTCCCAGCACCAAACCTATTGGAGTTTGATCACAGTCTGCCAGAACTTCCACTTGACTTAAGGTGAGGTTGTCCCCCCACCAAAAAAAAAGCATGGTAGGCTGTAGCACGAATTCGAATTTGTATTAATATTAAAAAACACAGAGTCAGATATTAGGGGCAGGGGAAAGCTGAAAGACCAGAGAAGCAAAACAGCCAGCCACTAGTTCTTGTTTCTACTGAATCCTCATACCAAAGGGGCGATCATGTCTCTAGGAATCCTCAGACTGAATTCATCCTGACTGACTGTCTAGACTGCATCCATCTCTATGAATCCTCAGACTGCACTGAGCTCCTGTCTCCTCTTGCCTTATATTCCTCTCTCTGCCCAGCCATATCACTCCTGTCTCCACCTCCCTAGTGCTAGGATCAAAGATGTGAGCTGTTTCTCTTTTATACTGACTCACTCTTGTGTAGCCCTGGGTGGCCTTGGACTCACAGAGATCCATCTGCCTCTGTCTCCTGAGTCCTGGGATTAAAAGTGTTTGCCACCACTGCTTGGGCTCTATGACTAACGACTGTGGCTAGCTCCACACTCTGACCTTCAGACAAGCTTTATTTGTTAAAGAATAAACAAAATGTTACAACAGTAGGCTAAACATAATGCTAGTTGCTGAAAATGGATCTAATACAACCTAACAGACAGTTGACTGGGCCTACCTTTAACCTCTGCAGCTGGGAAAAGTCACCCAACATGACACTACTCTAAATGTTGACTGGTTCGTGCAATGAGAGTTGGCAAAATAGAGAATACTTGTTCAGCACTTTCATAGAAAATGACAAAAATGTATGAATGGGGGGATAGTGGATATGGAGATATAGAAAGTCCAAGAAGAAAAATTCAAAAATGATTTTGGTAGGTTCATTAGCAGCCTAGGTGCCACTGAGGAAAGAATCACTAAGTTTAAGAATATGAGAATAGAAACTTCAAAAACCAAATACATAACAGAACAAAACAACTCTCATCCCACAGAACTGTGTCTACCTTCCATGTGACAAGAGAAAGAAAAAAGTGACTTTCGTGCAATGACTTTACCAAAGAGAGAAAAAAATAAAAAGTAAAAAGTTACTTTA